TATATATATATATATATATAAACTATCACTTTATTTAATTATTTTAACTAGATTTACTTATTTTATTTTGAGTTAAGTCTGTTTAATAAAGATTGAGAAAAATTGTGTACGTGGCAATTTGAGGGATTAATAAATTATCTTTTTCTTTGGATAATGGAATAAGTTCGACTTCTTTAGTCATCAGTACATATTAATTCCTGCCAAATTTTTGTATAAGTGAAAATTAAATAAATTAAGTATAAATAATTTTTTCAAAACAAATAAATAACTGTAATTTTTATTTTTTTATAAATTATTATTTCTTTATGCAGACATTGTGGTTTGTAACTAATTTCCGGGAGTGGAAAAGTGTAAGCTTGTGTTAATATTTCATTAATGGAATGAGTGTTAAAAGTGAAAGCTCGATAGTTGCAAGTTTGAAATATATAAATGTAAATTAAAGATAGTAATAATTGAAAAGGAAACTAAACCACTAAGTTAACCTAGTGATTGAATGGAAAATGTTAGAGTAGTTAGAAGCACGAGATTTTAGATTTAATCCTCATTATTTTCTTATCTTTATCAAAAAAAAATTGAAAAAGAAATTTTATGGATTAATATTTAGTATTTACATGCTAAATTTTTTAGATAAAATTGTACGTATCTTTCTATTAAATCTTTCATTTATTTTAAATCATTATTAAGTGCCAAAATTTAAACTAAGTGTAATTGTTTATCTATTCTTTTAATTTAATTTTTTATTAAAGTACACGCTCACGTATAGGAGAATCAACTAATTTTTTTTAAAAAAAATATTATACAACTAGTTTATTGACAACTCAAAATAGTTTTAGTGTTTGTAGATGTTAATGCTAACTTGAGTTTGGAAGTATTAGAAGATTATTCCGTAAAAATGCAGCTTTGTTAATGACCGATTCTTGAAGAACACCATTTCCTCTTAACGAGTTATTTTTGCTTTTGTTTTTTTAACCTTCTCTAAGCATTTTGTAAAAAATTAAAATAAAATAAAAAATAAATAAAACTATACTATTACTAAATTTTAATTGTATATATATAATAAAATACTTTACTAATTCCGTATAAAGTCAAATTTCGAAATAAATTTGGACTTTCTTTTTTATTTAACTTTCATTTCTTTTATTATACTTCTACTTAAAAAAAAATAACTAAACACCTCACTTAAAAGTAAAGACTCAAGGATGTATATTTTCAGTCATGTATGTATATTTATTAGAAGATGCTTTCAGGTCTGCCTCGATCGGAAAAGAATAGCAACTTTTCTGGGCCTATATTGTATTGACAAGGAAGCATTTTACTTGAAAAAAAAAAAAAAACTTATAACCTGGTTAAATATAAGTTAAAAATAAAGAGTATTTAAGCTTTTAAAAACGTTTCTAAATTTATATTTTAATAAGTTGAAGGATGAAATCTGAAGAGAGGAAAAGGACCTAAAATAGTTGAAGCTTTGCTCTATCTTGCAAATATTATAGAGCGCAGAAAAAATTTGAGGCTGAGGTTTATTGTACACGTACGTCTTCTGGATTATACTGGCCCGGTGAGGCTAAATATCCATTTCAACTTTCAATTTGAAACATGTTAGTTAATCTTGTGAAACCATTTAATGATTTAAATGTTTTTTACATGGGAGAGAAACAGCCAAAAAGTATACTTAGAGGAATGCTACTCTTGATGATGACCATTTTCCTCCCCGACTTCTCTTGATGAAGCGCTCGTGTTCTATGCTACATTATCAATTTTGGCATAACACTTTATGAAATTATAAAATAGTATGGGTTTCACTTCTTTTTTTTTTAATGTCTATTATCATGATTTTGTAATTTCAAAATAATTTAACCAATAATAAATGATGTATGGGAACGAATGTGCCAGGATTTTTTTTTTTTTTTTAACACTTCTCTTTACATTTAACATTATAACTTTATTTACATTATTTAAATTCGAAGTATTTCATATCTTTATATTTTATTTAATAAAAAATATTTAAAAATTATTAATGTTTAGTAGATTAATTAGTGTTGTATTTGATTATTTTAGATTCAAATTCTATTAATATAAAAATATTAACTTTTAATATTATTTATTATTTAAAAATTTAAGAAGAAAATCATTTAAAAAATATGTATACAAATAAAGAAATCTTTTTTATTATATGTTATAGATATTATAGGTAATATTAATTTTATTTAAAATAAAATAAAATAAAAAACACTATACAGATCAACTCTTTTGTTCATAGACTAAACTTGCTTAATCCACATATTAAATGGACTAAGAAAAAAATTCAACTAAACAAGCATGTATTTTTACTAGTCCTCCTAACTCACACATATCATAGATTATATAGATCTTCCTCCAAACTAAAGAATTATATTTTTACAAATAAAATACTATAATAAAAATAATTGGATCATATAAATTATATTTTAATTTATATTTTGATATAATGTTATTTTAATAATTGATAAAATTTTAAAAATATTAAAATTTAATTTAAAATAACAAAAATATTATTTCATTTAGTTGAGATATATTTATAATATTTTTTTATTTTTAATATCAAGTTCTAATAAGAGATATTTCGGAAAACATATTATTTTTGAATAAGATTAGAAAAACCAAATAATGTTAACTAAACTTCTTTGTATAATTTTTTTTGCTTACATTTTCAAGAACAGAGTAATACTTAATTTATTTTTCAAAATAATTTTTTAGGACATTTTTCATTAATAATAGATATACTATGATAGGGAAAAATATTTGTACATGTAAAATGTTTAAAAACCAAATTACATAATTACTCCAAAAACACGACTATATTTTTGTAACAAATAGTAAGTAATAATTAAGCTTAATTATCGTTTTAGTCTTCAAATTTGATAATATATATTTTTTTATGTCTTTCAAATTTAAAATTTATATTTTTACCCTTATTTAAAATTTATCTATTTTTTTTATCTGCAACTTTTAAAATTATTATTTTAATCTTTCAAAGATTATTAATAATATAACTGGACAGATAGACTTTGATATTTTTAATTAAAAATATATTTTTAAATTTGAGAAATAAAAAAATATATTACACCAAATTTAAGAGACAGGTTTAACTTTTGAAGAAAAAAAAAAGTGGAAGTGGTATATAAAATAAAAATGTTTGGGGAATTAGGAAGGGCGGCGAGAGAAAGGTGTGATGGCGTGGAAGTGGATCGTGCGAAGGACCCGCGAATCCAAATCCTTCTTCTTTGCATTCGCTGCCATATGCGGCGTCGTTCCGGGCGTCATCGGCTATGGCGTCATGCAGCTCACTAACACTCGCAACGAGAAGCTCGAGTCCCATCTTCGCCGAAGTGCCCGCGCCGAATCATTGGTAATTTTCTCTTTTTCCCTTCCTTACTTTTTCCTATTTTCTACTCCAAATTTACTATTTTTTCTCTGCGGCTGCTGTAGTAGTTTTGGAGTAAGCCACTCCTTGCTGCTATATGCCATTGATTAGGGGATAATAGGGAAATTGACAAGGTACGAACAATCATTTGGATTGTGGGGTTTCAGAGAGGGCTCAGATTTTCTTCTTGGAGACTGCTATTCTGTTTTACATTTGTTCTTCTTATTTTTCTAAGCTAAGAGGGTTACTATGAGGTCTGGATGCTTGATACAACATAGACATATGGATACAAGAAACTCCTTAAATTTCAAAATATTTTGGCCATAGATATGTTATTATGATAAATTAAAAGCAAGTAATTTAGACAAATGAACCATTTTTATAAAGAGACGTTGATAATTTCTATTTAATACATATGACAGTGGATAGTGATCACAATTTGCAAAAATACTTGTGATTGTAACAAAGACAATGGATACATATCTTTCCATTGCCTACATCAAAATACGTTCTTTTCCCATTTACACGTTTCAAAATTACATGTTTTTCGTGTCAGAATGTCACAAAGCATCATTAGTTCTACCACTCAACAAGTTTTGGCTCTATGTAATTGCCTACTATTTACTATTGCCTTAAGGATGCAGGGGAAAGCATGGAGCCACATCCTAAAATTGGAGGATACTCCTCATCCTAAACATATTAGTCAATAAAATTGGAGGATAGTTCTTGCCTCCTTGGAAACATATCTCTAAAACTATCATATGTGGGCTGCCTTGTTGGTATTGGATATAGGTACAGCACCAATACTCTGTCATTTTTGGAGTATCTGGACTTCATAGGCAGGCTACCTCATTTTCTGTTCTTGGTGTCTAGTGCTGTCGGGTGATGTTATTCCATGTTGTTTTCTGTTTCTTCTTTTTTTTTTCAATCTGGACCTGTAGTCATGTACCACATGACCATTAGGGTAAATAATTAACCAACTTCATGGTGTACTGCTTGGCTCAAAAACAAGTCTTTAGATCCCATGACATGTCAAAATCTAATTATAGTCAATTGACTTCATTTCGAGGACTCTTCTATTCCATGATACATTTAGTGAAGTGTTATAGTGGCATTTTTATGCATGGTTTCTTTTTGCCAAATGACATGTTTCTTTCAATTAGGCTAAGTATAACATCATTAAATATATCTGTGGAACCTGGCAACCTGCAGGTGTCAGGCCCTAAATGGACAGAACCATGGTTAATTTTACATTGATCCAACATTGTATACATTGTTTGGGATTCAACTTCCCATCCAATTATCTGTGTAGGATTTTCTTCAAATGAAATATTTCTATATTTTTGTTCCAAAACCAAAATCTTATGTTTTTATATGACTGTGACTCCACTCTGTTCAGTGTTTTATTGACTTCAATTCCAATTCCTATATTACATACATGTTCATTTTAAACCTACATCTACAACCTCCTAGATTGGTCTTGGATTGGAATAGTAGAGCAGTTTATCTTAGAGGTTAAGTAGTCAAGTTTATGTGAGAATCCAACCAATTTACTTGAATTAAGTAGTCAAGTTTGCATTTGTTTCTTTGAGGTGATTTCCTTCCTTTGTTGAAAGTTCTAACAATCTAGCTGCTTTAATTATGTACCAGATGATGGGGCAAGTCAATAAAGAGAGGCTGGCAGAATACCTTGGAGAGCTACAGCGGAAGGAGGATACCAATGACCGTTATGTTGCTGCCCTGAAAGGAGAAACTCTAACCAGAAAACCTTATGTGAGAATCCAACCGATTCCAGAGCAAACCGACACTAAGGCCGGCAAGGAGCAGATGAAATGAATAGTTTGCAGATCTCTAGTTATTGTGAATATATGTTTCTTTAAGTTCAGTATGAACCTGCTGTTCTGTCCGTGTTTAATCTTGTTTTACTGCTGGATGCGTTTATTTAAGCACTGAGCTCTTCTTTTTTAAGCGGGGTTGGTTGGTTGGTTGGTTGGTTGGAAATCATGTCCATGGTTCTGTCTAGACAAGACTACACTAAGATGTTATTTGATGTAACCAACTTCTTCATAGAGGAGATCTAGTATTCTCATTGGAATATAAACATTTTCCAGACTTCAGGATGATTTTGGCCTAAAGTCTTTTTATTTGAGGATCAGGCCCTTTTGTCTCGTAATAAGCAATTATGAGAGTATAACTGTTGCACTTGCATCAACCATAAAACAGTCCATTCATATTGTACCTTCTGCATATATCACCAACGCTATAGGTGAATTGGTTACATATTCTAATCTATTGTATTATTGTTGTAGCCTCTGCAGCCTTGACTGGTGGTAAATTATCAACTTGGAAATAGGTGATATTTTGATATGTAGGAGAGGATAGAGTAGAGGTGTTAGAACGAACCATACATAGCATTAGGCATTATCTACTTTTGATGTTGCCAACTAGGTAATGGCAGGTGTAGAATATGCATCCTGAGTCAGCTGGTAATATATATATATTTTTTTTTTTTTGTTAAATACCTCTTTTCGTCCCTTATAATATTTTTTTGTTTCAATTTAGTTTCACTTTAATTTTTTGTTTCAATTTGGTCCATAATAATTAAAATCATTGCAATTTGGGACTTCCGTCCAAATGATTTAAACAGGATTAACTGTTGGTCACGTGGATGTGTACGTGGACGTCAAATTGCATGAATACACCTGGAACCAGAACGGCCCGTTCTGAAACCAAAACGGCCCGTTCTGGATACACTCTTGGTGTGTTAATTTTGCAACCGGAACGGGCCGTTCCAAATGCAAATTTAACACAACATGAGTGCAGCAGAACGGTCCGTTCCAGAACGCCAAATTAATTTTTGATTGTATTTTTTTATTATATCTATATTAATAAAAATATAATAAATAAAAAATACAATAAATTAATATTTATTTATGAGTAAAACTAAAAAAAAATCAAATAAGATAAGATCTTCTTTGATTTGAACTTATCCAGTTCAAAATCTTGACTAAAATGCTGCAATGTGATTCAAAAATTGAAAATAAAAATTCATAATATATCATAAATTCAAAGACAGAAACATGGTTCAGAAACTGAAAACAAAAATTCAGAACATAACATATACTAAAAAAGTTCAAAGAAATTATTGAGAAAGGAAATCATCTGGGTAACGCTGAAGGAAAATCCTAAATCACAAAAATTCAGGTTGTACCTCCTCAAGAACAGGTTGTTATTGTTGGTGTACATCGTCAATAACTTTAAGGGGAAACACCATTTCGTTTCATCCTTGATTGTATAGTGTCAATTTAGTAGTAAGTAGTTCACTCCAGTTTGACTAACAATGAAATAAAACTTTTTACTATTGTCCTTCGTGATACACTGCATCGTCCTTAATGATACACTGTATAGCCCAAATGTTTTGCAATTGAAATTATCAATCCCCATTAACAATATTACCAAATTTAGTGTTTGAAATGCTTTGTACTTTAGTAAATATTTGTCCGTTCCAGATACAAAATTTACATACCAATAGTGTAACTAGAACGGGCCGTTTTGGTTTCAGAACGGGCCTTTCTGATTCTAGGTGTATTCCAGTATTTTGGGATCCACTTACGTGGCATCTACGTGGCATCCACGTGGCCATCAGTTAATTCCGTTTAAATCATTTAGAAGAAAGTCCCAAATTGCAATGATTTAATTTATTGGGGACTAAATTGAGACCTAAAATTAAAGGGGGACTAAATTGAAACAAAAAAATATTGTAAGGGACCAAAAGAGATATTTAATCTTTTTTTTTTTTGTGGTGAAGCACTCGGCTGGTAATTAACTCTCGGTAAATGGGACATATGGATACAATTTTTGCAAGTCTGCCTCAAAAATTTATTTTTATTTATCATGAAAACACCATTCATCTATCTGGTAGGGCTTCATCTAAAAGCCATGCCATTTTCATTGTTTAGGCAAAGTGCACACATACTGCTCAAGAAACAGATGTTGTCTGATTGCTTTTAATGTTAGCCTTATTTTTGGCTTGTGCAAAGGATGCTCAAGAATTCCTAATAACATGTTTAAATGTGTCAATTATGTTGGATTTTTTTGGTTAGTGTTAACCTGATTTTTAACTTTTATTGTGTTGTTCTTTCTCATATAACTCCAGACAAATTTAATTTGATATGCATTTGCATGTAACTTCAGACACATTAAATTTGATACGCATTTGCGTATGCAAGAGGAAAATATTTGTTCAAAAAAATGTTTTCTAACAAATTGTAAAAAAAAAAAAATTGAATCTTAATATGATTGTTCAATGAATACATCTATTACCCAAGCCCATTTTTTTAAGTCACAAAAAATGAGGAAGAAATAGTAGTCAAGGCAAACGAAATGAAATGTATCTTATCATCGATTAGTTTCATTTTCTTTTCACTATCGGAGTTTTGCCTGAATCAAGAGTGAGTGGTATTTGAAATTGAGCATGATTACAAAAAGTAAACTACTTTTTCAAAGGTAGAACTCCTATATATTGTGCATTTTTTTCTTTACAATGTATAAGTAGGCGGCAAATCTTATTTTATAAGCCAATTTTTTTTTATATTATTGATTAAAATTAATTAAATATCATAAAATTATATAAATAAATAATAAGTCTCACCTTCAAACTTCAAACCAATTTTGTAAGATTAGATTAAATTAAAATTCACTATTGTAATATGATAAGATTTTTATACATTAATTGAAGAGTTTATTAGTGTCTGTTTTGATGTATATTATTATATATAGATCCCCACAAAGCACAAATTTGGTCCAGGGTGCAAGAATTGAAGTCCCATTCCAATTCCATCCTTTCTCCCAAACAGCACTAGGCAATAAATAGGCATCATGGCCCCATCAGCATCCTCCAAGAGGCACCCACTGTATCACGGAATCCGTTGTCGCGGAACCAAATGGGTCTCCCGCATATGGCTCGGCACCTTCCCCACGCCAGAGATGGCGGCCGCCGCC